TTGCAAATAAATGTCTTACATTGACCATCAATACAGTTACATTCTACATTGTTTAAGTAAATTCAAATCTTCATGCCTGAATGTGAATTTTCTTTGAGGCAAAAAAGAGTATGAATAATGCTGGCAGTTCTATCCATTACTCCACTCAGTAAACATAGGGACCCCAACTGAGTCTGAGGGGATTTTGGTTAGTATAATTCTTGTATTTATTCAACTTCCCTATATTCCTTGTCTCTCCCACACACACACACTTTTTTTTAATCCTCACCTGAGGATATGTTTTTCATTGATTCTAGAGAGAGAGAGAAAGAGAAACATAATGTGAGGGAGAAACATTGATCGGTTGCCTCCCATATGTACCCCGGTATGGTCCCCGAACAGGTCACGGGGTGATGTTCTAACCAACAGCCACACTGGCCAGGGATATTTCTGTGTTTCAGTAGCAGCCGTATCTGAGTGATCCTCATTTCAGTCATGAAAAGCTTGACGTAAACCTGTGGCAATTTCAGTTTCCAGTTCTTTTCCTTTCCTTGGTAGATGCTTCTTCACTGTATACCACAAATTCCAACTCAGTAGAACTTAGAATCATGGGAATAAGAAGTAAAATATTTACAAATGTGTGAGAAAGGTATACTTATGAGGGCCCCTATTTCCTCCTTTACTTCTTAGTATCTGTAGCTGTTAGAGTGGTAGTACCATGTATTGATTTCTGGTTTAGAGCATGTATCCTTCAGAATAATGCCAGCTGCTTTACATGCTGGTACAAGGCAACTCCCATAGATAACACTTCATTGTTTAACTTTATTTTTAATGCTGTGAAATAATTTCCTTGGCCAGTTTGTGTACAATTGGCAGGTGAATGTTGGGTGGATAGGGCGAATCCATATTCCAATGAGGATAAATTGTCACCGCTTCTAAGATGAGAGAGGGCAAATATAGAACACAGATGTTCAGTGCTCTTCTGATGTATATGATATTGCTCTACACTCTTACCCCAGTTTACAGAGAATAGTCTTGTCTTACTATTCAGTTTAAGAGTATAACATTAGCACAGATATATAGTAAACATTATACCTGTCCAGTAATGATTATAAGTATGTAATTCATATGACATTTATATAATTTCTAAAAGGTGGTAGAAACAGAATTCTATAAATATAAATCTTTTTCAGATACTATCTCACCATTAATATGGTATTTGAACAATATGGATTTCTGTAGAATTTGTAGTGGAACAAAGCAAGACAGAATGGATATTATACTATTTTTTTAATAGCTTGATTATACTCACTTTGTTTGAGTTAAAAAACAATATTCACTCATTCTGTAATGATCTCTACAGTGTTTTTCATACCCCTTTATCCTATTTCACATCTCCCTTCTTTTCCCCCTTAATGGTTATCTTCCCTGTTTCTCTTACTGTCTTTCTTTCCCTGGTTCTATTGTATTTTTTTCCTTACTTGTTGGATAGTTTCTATCCAGAGGTAATATAATCTCTATGGTTAAAATCCACTGTAGAGTTCAAAATCTCCCTTCTTCAGATTATGGGAATTTTAATATGACAGCTATTCTTGGGTGAGCTTTTTTTTAAGTGTTTTTAATAGAAAGAGTAACATCACCCCCCACCCCTCCAATCTTGTTTCCATTTGTATAATCTCTTTTATCTTTGTTAGGTTGAAACTCCATTGGAAGAAGCTATTAAATTTTTAACACCGTTGAAGAACTTGGTGAAGAACAAGATAGAAACTCATCTTTTTGCCTTTGAGATTTACTTTAGGAAAGGTAGGCAATTAGGATATAGTGGCCCTGATAACATTGATCACTGTATTTCTTAGATATAGTCTCCCAACTCCGATAGCCTCACCACTGTTTGCAAATGCCAGTTCAGCTTGCCTGCTATGCACGAAATATGGGGAGGTACAAGGATATGATATCTCTTCTAGGACATTAAAATCACAATAGATGTAAATGCCTAACTAGGATTAGGGTCAGATATAATAGCTCCTATGTGCGTCTGTGGATAAAATTAGTTAATACATGTAGAACTTAGAATGGTGTCTGGTACACAGTAAGCATTAATAAATGTTAGCTATTGTTAACAATAGAAGATGTGATGCTTTAGGTGTATCTTGAAGGGTGGCTCCTATTTCTGAAAGAAAAGATGTGTAGAAGGGAAGAGGCTTTGTTAAGAAAACATAAATGTGTGTAAATATGGTAATGTTGAGGTTGGCTATATTGCCTGAGCCAGTAAAATATAAATGAGAGGTCTTGGTTGCCAAGTTTAGAATGCTTATACTATATACTAGAGGCCTGTTCCACAAAATTGAAAGGAGAGGGCCTAAGCCAGCAGGTGGACATCCCTCTCACAGTCCAGGACGCCTTGCTCCTTACCGCCCACCTGCTCACTGCTTCTTAATGCTCGGCTTGCTGCTCCTTAGCATTGCCGTGGAGGTGGGAGAGTCTCCCACCACCCCCACTGCCCTCACCAGCTGTGAGCCCGGCTTCTGGCTGAGTGGCACTCCCCCTGTGGGAGCACACTGACCACCAGGGGGCAGCTCTTGTGTTGAGTGTCTTCCCCCTAGTGGTCCATGCACATCATAGCAACCAGTTGTTCTGGTTGTTCCACCATAATTGTTGCTTAGGTTTTTATTATATAGAAGATAATAGATACAAGAAGATTTTATGGTGTTGAATTGGAGTAATCCCAGTGGTTTATTGAAAAAGAAAATTTTATCATTAAGGTGATGTGTTTTGAAGGGAGACAAACTGGTTAGTAAGATCCAATAGAAGGTTGTTTCCAAACAGTGTAACTGTCCTAAAAAAGACTGAATAAAATGACACCTCTATAGAGTATCCATTAAAAATCATGTTTACCAAAAATAATTTGTAATGTTAGGGAAAGGTTGCCATATATAATTGTTTGAAAATAGGACATAAAACTAACTATAGCTTGATTTTCATTTTAATAAGATACTTACAGGGGTATGTACAATCGAAAAGTGACCAAGCAGAAATTGATAAAAGATAACAGAGATTATCTCTAGGTGGAATTTGAATGACTAAAATATTTTCTACTGTATTTTCTATTTTCCACAATGATTATGTTATAATTTGGAAACTAAGTTTAATAAATAGTACAGTAATTTTAAACTTTTAACAGTTACTACAACTCCCTTTAAACCAGTACTTTTAAATCAGTCACAAAGTATAAAATGCAACAGTTGTTGTTCTTATAGTGGGGAAGGGCAATCTAAATTCCATTCACTTGGCTTCTTGGCTCTGCTCTAACCTCTGAAGGGCTCTCAGCATTGACAGTCCACTGCGGGAGAGTGAAATGGGCCATGACAAAGGGCATGGCAGTGCTTTTAGCTTTCTGAGTGTTGAGGGTAAGGGAAAAGAAAATGTCAGAGAAGCCTGGGGTTTTGAATTTTGATATTTGGAGAATGGTGCCAAATTAGGGAAGTCATAACAAAGGTATTCATAGATGATAGAAGTTCAGGGAGTATTCTGCTGCAGATTTCCATTCAACAGGTTGAAGCACTGCTGAAGCCTGTGAACATGGGGGTAGAGGGTGAGTGGGGAACAGCATAGATAGAGATTAGAACATCACTGAAAACTCTACCTTTCAGGGGGAAGAAGAGCCAGGGATTGACAGGAGAGAACAGTCAGGTAGGAAGGAAATCATTACACATGTGAGGAAACACAAGAAAGGAGATGGTTTTAAGCATATAAACACTGATTTTTTAAAAATATATTTTATTGATTTTTTACAGAGAGGAAGGAAGAGGGCGAGAGAGTTAGAAACATCGATCAGCTGCCTCCTGCACACCCCCTACTGGGGATGTGCCCGCAACCCAGGTACATGCCCTTAACTGGAATCGAACCCAGGACCCTCCAATCTGCAGGACTACGCTCTATCCACTGAGCCAAACCGGTTTCAGCTAAACAATGATTTTTTAAAAATATATTTTTATTTAGTTCAGAGAGGAAGGGAGAGGGAGAGAGATAGAAGCAATCAATGATGAGAGAGAATTATCAATTGGCTGCCTCCTGCATGCACCCTATTGGGGATTGAGCCTGTAACTGGGGCATGTGCCCTTGACTGGAATTGAACCTGGGACCCTTCAGTCTACAGGCTGACTTTCTATCCACTAAACCAAACCAACCAGGGCTCAATGATGTTTTTACGTAGTGAGGAAAATCCCTTTATTTTGATTAAAGGATGTTAGGAAATGAAATGGCTTCAGATTTGTTTCTGTTGATTTGAATCATATATAAGCTTCTTAGTAAATTGTTCTGATATTGAAGAATCTCGTTGAAATGGACTTGTTTATATGGCATTAGTTCAAATATTGTTGCGTGCTATCTAAATTTTTTGTACTTCATAAAACCTTTTTTCTTAAAGAATGTTGTATGGAAAATAGTAGCTAACATTGCTAATCTGAGGAATTCATTGGCTTCAGTCATATGTTTAGTAGGTTAGATGTGATTGACTGTAAATTAGTTTTTCTATTTGTAAGGTCTTAATTCTCCAAAAGAGCGCATCTTATTTTATCAAATGATAAAAACATATCTCACTTTTTCTTTTTATAGAAAAATTTCTTTTGATGCTTCAATCAGTAAAGAGGGCATTTGCTATTGATTCTAGTCATCCCTGGCTTCATGAGTGTATGATTCGACTCTTTAGTACAGGTATGTTTTTGTTTTCCATTTCTGAAATATTTGTGACTGTATAAGTGATCTGTACAAGTTTACCATCATAAACAATCATTTTAGAAACACTGCATATTAAATTAGCTGAGGCTAAAGCAGGGTTCTTGTCTTTGTGTTGAAGGTCTTTATTTCTTAATGCTAAAAAACATTACCTAATTTTGACAGAATTGTTCAGTTCAGGTATTTGCGAATTACCTTAGTTTCTGTTTGTAAAAGGTTACATGTAAATTGAAGTTTTGAATCATATGTTATTATATAAGCTTCTTAGTAAATTGTCCTGAAATTTAAGAATCTCTTTGAAATGGACTGGTTATCTCCTTATGTACCTGTCTTTAGCACAGTTAAGTCATATCATTTTTGTTATTAAATATATATAGGTTAAAAAGAACTTTAAAACTATCGTACTTTTCAAATATTTTGATAAGATTCCATACATTAGCCCTAGCCGGTTTGGCTCAGTGGATGGAGCATCGGCCTGCGGACTGAGGGGTCCCGGGTTCGATTCCGGTCAAGGGCATGTGCCTGGGTTGCGGGCATATCCCTAGCAGGGAGTGTGCAGGAGGCAGCTGATCGATGTTTCTCTCTCATCGATGTTTCTAACTCTCTATCCCTCTCCCTTCCTCTCTGTAAAAAATCAATAAAATATATTAAAAAAAAAAAGATTCCATACATTAATTTTAATGTGAAGTAAAACTACAGAATTTTAGAGAATGAAAGGTGGAATTTTATGCTAATTATTTCATTTTATATTTGAGAAATTTGTGACCATTAAAGATTAAATTACTTATTCAAGGTAACAGATAACCAGTAATGGGGCAGGGATGAGAGCCCAAGTCTTCATATTGTTCTATCTACTACAGAGCTTTAAATGTACATAAAGCACTCCTATAGTCAAATAGTGCTGTTTTGGTTTTTAAGTGATTAGAGAAGGAGAAATGGAATTTTTACTAGAACAACCTGCAGAATTTAGAAATACTATTAGTTATCTCATTGCTTAAATACTCAGGCTCATATAAATCCATTCATTATATAAAATAATGAGATTAAACCAGGCATTTTAATCATTGTTTTGAAAATTGCTAAATTGTCCCAATTAAGAACATTGTTTTGTCTTCAAAGGAAAAAGTAAAGCCTTATTTAAGTTACTAGAGGCCCGGTGCACGGATGCTTGCACTAGTGGGATCCCTTGTCCTGGCCTGTGCCCTCTCGTAGTCTGGGACCCCGCAAGGGATGTCAGATGCCGGTTTGGCCCAGGCGTCTAGTATGCATATAAGATCATTGGTTAATCCCTTCCTGCCCTCCCCCTTCTCCTCTTCCCTCTGAGATTCATCGGTCTGTTCAGTGTTTGTGTGTGTGTGTGTGTGTGTGTTGAGCATCTGCCCCCTGGTGGTCAGTGCGCGTCATAGCTACCAGTCGAATGTTTGAGTGGTTGTTCGGTCACTTAGGCTTTTTTATATCCTATCTAATAAAAGAGAAACATGGTCATTGGCATACGACCGCTACCCTTCCCATCGGCTAATCAGGGAGATATGCAAATTAACTGCCAGCCAAGATGGTGGCCAGCAGCCAGGCAGCTTGAAACTAACATGAGGCTTGCTTGCTTCAGTGACGGAGGAAACCGTGCTCCCCGCCTGCCTTGCAGGCCTCTGAGCCTGCAGTTTGAAACATTTTAACAAATATAGAAGCTAAAAAAAAAACCCCAGAAACCAGCTTTCCGCGAACTGGGATCTCAGAGCTGGAGTTATAGATTGTTTTGATTATAGAACCGAAACAAACCAGATACCTACTTTCAGCAGCGGAGGCCTAAGAGCTGGAGCCTTAGAGCTAAAGCTGCCCCAGAATTAAAAAAGAAAAAGAAAAAAAGGAGGGGTTGGGAGCTTCCGTCACCCGCCAGCCTGAAAACAGCCCTCAGCCCCTCACCCAGGCTGGCCAAGCACCCCAGTGGGGACCCCCACCCTGAA